TTTCCGTCACACACTTGAGGTATTCGGCCAATCACAACGCACTGGATAGCTGGCCAATCAGAGCACACCTCGCGTTTCAGACCGATGAGCTTTGTAAAAATCGACGCATTTCAGAAAGGCGGGGCATAGAGGAGAAACAATAATGTACAGTATGTGGAAAATAATGTTTTTTTAACCTTAAACCGCATAAACACATTTCATTACACCAAATACACAAAATAATGTTCTTTTTAGCAGCATCATATGACCCCTTTAAAGGAGCAAGTTCCTTAACACTAGTTATTGTTGTGCATCTCTGAGGTAATCTGAGAATGCTCTTTAATAATATCTTTATTCACTCAAGTCAGTTTGTTACCGCATTATTACTCACATTGTTTTTATTCTTGTTATTATTAGTAACTTCTGGATCTTCTGTCATTTGTAATTACAGAAGCGTCATTAGTTGGCAATTACCATATGCTCATTGCTACTTCTGCTAAAGCATTGCTCAATTCAGCTGTGCTCATCTATGCAATATTAATCATCAAAGAGTTCATAAATTCTTGGATATTAACTTGAGATGGTCAATAAAGATGACCATTTTCATTATACCTTTTCCAAACCTTTTATCACATCTTCTTTTTTTAAGCTTTCCTCTTAACTTTCTTCAAGCTCAGTTTGCTGTTATGTGTTTTTCTGCCACCAGTTTTAACTCCTAATGCTACTGTTTCTCTCAGTCTCAACCCTTATCAAAATTGACCATAGTAACAAAATACCACAGCTTCCACATTTATGCTGTTATTTTTCCATGGAACACGAAAGAAAAATGTTGTTTTTAAGTAGGTTTTTAACTGCATGTTTTCTCTCTTACCGACAGGTGCTGGAAGAGCCAAGCTCTCATAATGTTTGTCGCAACTTTGGGAAAGATTCCTCTTTTCTTGTTTCGTCTGTCTCTATCTGTTTCATCTTCTTCTCCTGTGCTGAGAGATGCCACACTTCCATCCAACCCATCACCTGACACAGAACAACACACAAGCATAATGAAATATCTTGTTGGATAGGATTGAAAATGTAAAATAATATATGTTTTTAGTTTCAGTGTTGGGGAGTAACTAGTTACTAGTTACAAAATAAATGTAACTGTAATCTGTTACAGTTACTGAACAAAAAAAAGTGTAATTAAATTACAGTTACTTATGAAAATGTTAAGATTACAAAGGGGGTTACATCTGAATATTTTCTCACACATACAAATATGATTGATTTCTTTCCCAAAGGTTAATTCAACAGATTTTGAAAATCTGACAGTGATCAATGTTGAGTCCTACTGTAAGGTTAACCCTGCCTGCTTTAAATGTTTTAAAATGATTAACATTTAGAACATTTTTAAAATGCAATCAAAAAGTAATCAGTTACATTACTTTAATAAAGTAATTGAAATAATTACACAACTTATTACATTTTGAATAGGGTAACTTCTAATCTGTAACCTATTATATTTCCAAAGTAACCTTCCTAACACTGTTTTTTTATTTCCAAGATGATAACAAGATGCCAATTGTTGAATTAAACATGCAAAATTGAAACATTTATCACTGCATATAATATACACAATTCCCGTAAGAGTTTTATAAAACAGTATGCAGCAAAAATGCTAGACTTCACTATAGCTGGTGTGTGTAAAATGATAAGTACCGGCATCGCTGCAGTTCTCTGCGCTGTGTGAGGTGAGGCCACAGGAGGCACTGGGGGTGCCCGAGGGGGTCGACACACAGTCATCCGGATCTCGCAACCAAGACTGATTCTAGATCAGGAGAGACAGGCACAGTCAGACACACACACACACCCAGTAACAGGCAGCAACTAGCTCCCTGATATGTGTCAGATGTCTACTGACTTACTTGTTCTGACAGATTGGTGCAAGAGCCAGTGAAATCTTCCATGTCAGATTTGGATCCACCCTCCCGGTCCTCCAGCACCAAATCAGTGGGCATCTTGCCTTTAAGGCACGTGATGTACCGATTGCAGAAATTATCACAGAGGTCATGAACCTATGAGAGACAAGTGAAGATATCAGGTTCATTAACATATACTGTATAAAGCTAAAAATTCATAGCATGTTCATGCTGCTCTTTTGAATACAATAAAAGCTAAGAGTATTGTGAGAAGAGCTGTCTATCTCTAAAAAGGAGCCTGGTACGCCTGGTTTTAAAACATGTGAGCGTGCTATTTGGTGTCACTGATAGCAAGCGTATAGTATAGTTTGACATGCCACATTTGAATATGGGGAAGCAAGCATAATGGCCGTCCTTAGGACGATTGCGAAAAAAAAATGGAATAAAAATAATAAAAGTAAATAAAATGAATAAATGAGGTAAGTAAATTATAACAGGATTTTCATTGAAGAAAATCACACACTAAATAAAAAGTAAAAATAAATAAAAATGAATAAATGAGGTAAGTAAATTACAACGGGAGTTTCATTGAAGAAAATCACACACTAAATCACACATGGTACCATGTTTTTTTAGGACATGTTCCATGATAATATAAGGGTAAGCTTTACAAACATGTTGTTAGAGAGAAAAGCATACCTTTTCTAGCTCTAATAGATGAAACCTTAGAACTTGAATGGCCTGGATCATCTGTGCAAAGAGATCATATGGTTAAAACTGTCATGCTCTTTACAAAATTACATGGAACCACTTATTTAAAAGCTCATGTATATCTTACCAGATTGTCCAGTTCTGGATTTGATGAAAAGATAGGTTTCTCTGATCGAATCTAAAATAATTAACAGAAAAAATCAACATATAGAAAACACCACTACAAGGCATAAGCCTGTTGTCTCATATGTTAAACTAGTCTGAGACTAGAAGTTGAAAATCCCAGTCTATTGTTATCTTTGTACAAAAGGCTTATAAACTGTCAGGGGGGGGGGTAACTTTCAAACAAGGCTTTGTCATGCCAGAATTCAAAGTTTGTCTTGACAAACTTTGCTTTTATAGTCAAAATATACAGTTATATGAATTTCTTTGAATTTCCTTTCATTTAATTCTACTTTCTTAAATTCAAATTTGAATTGTACGCCTGCATCCTGTTTTCTACCTCAATGCAAATTAAATTTCAATTTAAGAACTGACTTGGAATTTAAAATTTAAAAGGTCAATACGCAGCACGACGATCTTCAGTCTTGTGGCGTGTGCTTGGCTTTAATGTGATTGGCTTGGTTACTCACTTGTTTGGCAAAGGCCGCGATATCATCATTGAACGATTCAGAGGAGCAGACGTCACTGTGATTGGTCATGCAGGGGAGATGGGCGGAGTTTGACATCGAGTCTCGTGGTGAGCAGGTGGCAAGTTCACACTTCTCAAATACCAGAGCCAGGAGTGGAAACAGAGGATGACTGCAAATAAACACACATATGCTCCAAGTAAGAAAACACAGCAGGGTAAGAAAATGCTACACAGCTAATCCTGTCTAAAATTGATAGTGTTTATGCTAAAAAAAAATTTAATGCCACCACAAATGTCATAACTACTCTGGATTTTCTGAAAAGGTGAAGTGTGTAATTGTTTTGATGTTATATCCTTTCTCCTTTCTCAGCTTAATGTGGATAGAGGACTATAAGTAAACTACTTGTAGATTGGCGTTCCCTCAAATTGAAAATAAAATGGCTCTGAGGCATATTTCAAACATTGCTATTTTTGTTTGAGTAGCCTAAATCATCAACATTGGCTCGACCAATGAAGTGAGTTTGGGGCCAGAATAACTGACCAGTTCATCTGACCAATGGGAGTGTTTGGAAAACCTGAAAGTTGTAATTACTTCCATTCCAATTCCATTTGGTGCCTCTAGTGGTGCAAAGATTACAAACTTCACCTTTATGACTGTGCAAGTTATATTTTTTTAAAGGGGTCATATGATGCTTTTTTAAAGATTATTATTTGGTGTATTTGGTGTAACAGAATATGTTGACATGCTTTAATGTTCAAAAAACACATTATTTTTCAAATACTGCACATTATTGTAGGTCCTCTATGCCCCGCCTCTCTCAAACGCTTCGTTTTCTACAAAGTCCCTCCTTCCGACAAGCGCAGTCTGCTGTGATTGGCCAGCTGACCAACACACAGTGTCTCTCTGACATGGCTGCTTCAACACTAACTGCTGTTATTGAAACCATGCCTTCTTTCTTTGCATGAACATTTGGTCGGCATTATGCAAATATTTCCACATAGTGAGGTAGATATGTGGGGGCGTGTTAGAACGAGCCGTTTTAGGGGGGCGTGGCAGAGTCTTAACTTTGATAAAGAATATCTCCTTGGTTTTGAGACTTTAGTCTTTGCAACTTCAGGGATCTTATCTATGCACAATCAGCTTGTAACACTCCAAAGAGAAAGGAAAACTTGAAATCGCATCATATGACCCCTTTAAGTTTTTAATTGTGAAAGAACAGTTTTGTTTCAAGCTAAAAAAAAATATCTTCATGTGCGAAAGTCAAAGAATTAAAAAAAAATAAAAAAGTATATTACTGTATTTTATTCTAACAAAAACCGCATATGATGCCATAATTCTCCTAGTCAGAACTAACCAAGACCTGAAGGCATATATATTAACAAATGCAATGCTCATTCATGTTTCGTGGGAGGTAACAGATGGTTAAAGTAACCAGACTCTCACCCGTAGATCTGGTCCCGGTGGTGTTTCAGGGAGTCAGGCACAGTGTGGCCATAGTGTGGCAGAGGAAGTGACCTCATGTAGTCTCCCACAGGCATGGCGTCAGAGCCTGGGTAGTGCACCAACTCCTCATACTAGATACGGAGAGACATGATAAGACAAATTTAAAAGATAAGACATTGCCTGAGATGTGCAATGTGTGTGTGGGGGATTTATTATGATGTACAAATATATAGGCTACAGGATTGACAGTACATTTGAGTATGTGAGTTAGCGCTAGGCTGTTTGAAGTCGCTGCTAATTGTATCTCCTCCTTAATAAACACTAGATGCGGGGAGGCTTTGATGTGCGATTTTTCAGAGCGCCAAGCAACATTCACCCAGGGACATAAACTTTCCAGCTGATTTATAATTAACAGCCTTACATACAAATACATAAAGTCATCCAGCCTTCATTTATACTAATTATGTGGTTTTACAGTCAGCTTTCTGATTAATGCTGTACTCAGATAAATCAGAAAAAGACTTACACAATGTTTTCGGAATAATCAATAATAAGAAAAAAACTGTTACTTCTCACTGCACAACTATAAATTTCATTTTAGCAATTTCCAATGACTGTGCTCACCTATTATTGAGATGGAAGTTGTATTAATCATTACTAATAGCATTACTTAATGAAAGCCACCTCTGCGAAGTACATTCTAACTAAAAAAGAAAAAAACATATTTAAGCCTCTGTAAATAATCAGGATTTTCTGTAGCATATAAACTCCATATATACATGTGTGATATACTTATTTCTCCATATGTGTTTTCACCATGGCATGAAACATTTCATTTGGCTCTGAAGTTGCAATATTTTCATATTCATGGTCTTGAATATATTTCAAAAGAATATTCTGTTATGAAAAAAATGATAAGTAACTAAAAATTTAGGACACCGCAATTCATAATAAAATTGATTAACCAAAAAGACGTTCGGAGCTAAAATTAAGTATGCCTACTGCAAAGATGGACAATGTAAGAATTAAAAAATATGTAAAACACATAAACACGCAGCACATCCAAAGTCTCGAATGTGATCAATTATGTTAGTATTGTAGCACTTTATAATAACTTCATTTAAGTAATTAACAGACATCATATAATGCTTAACAGAAAAATAGCTCAAATACATATAAACATTTGTGAACCAATGTTTGATGATTTTTCTTTCTATTGACAGAAACATAATCAAACTTTGATGAACATATTTGATTGGTAATCACATAATGATTAGTAGTGTAAATTATTAAAGTTATTATAGACAAACTACAACCAATTAAAAGCAGTAGAGTTTCAAGCAAACTAAATAGAATTAAACATGAACAGAATATATGTAATTTTGTATGCTGCAGCGTTGCTTTTTCTAAAGAAAACAGAAATCAGTAATGTGTACTTCACAAGCTTAAAGGTGCAAACGTAATGTAGAAGATCATAGAAAATTAAATATTTGTGGGACTTACCAATATCAGTTTTTAGTGATGGCAATTTTTTACTTCAAATCTAACAGGCTTTTACAGGCAATAAAAAAATACCAATCAGTGTCATTGAATTTCCTGGATCATTTGAGGACACATGAGAACAAATATTGCGGGGACAGATAAAAGAGCTTATATTTGAGATTGAACAGACCGATGCCAAATTAACAGGATCATAATTACCATTTGTAAGTAGACAGAAAGCAACAAGATTTTCCATTTGGCCGCTCACTGTAGCACAAAAGTTGACCTACTTACCGACTTCATCTGCCTTACTAGAGCATGCTATTTTCCTACACTACTCCATCTGATGTTTGCCTTTTATTGCTTTTCTGAATACATGTAATTGATAATATTAAGGATAAAACTGAGTAGCTGAGTGTATAAGCACCTTTGTGAACTTAGCTGGCTTTCAAGTAAATGTAAGCCTACATGAAAATAAATAAATGAAAGTTTAATGATAGCCTACTTTATACTATTTAAATGCACATTACCTAATGAGCATCAACTAAGCATCGCATAATGGAATAATGTTTATTACTGACTTGGACGCTGGACTGGAAGTTATTATAAAGTGTCAGCCAAAAATCTAACAATTACAAAATAAGAATTATTTTTGGAGTGTAGACTACACACTGCTTGTACATCACAATAGTTATTATCTTTAGTTATGCTTACGTGTTACTCAGTTTGTTTTTGGTATCCACATGATAGCATCCTTTTCATCAAAGTAGCAAAAAAATGGACCTGGAAAATAAAGGGAAAAACAGGACCTACCCTCTTCTCCATGCGATACGGAAGCCGAGCTCACACACTCACTGACGGATGACATACACCAGAGCGGCAGATAAGACACACTCTCTACAAGAACGAAAGCATAAAAAACATTGAAGAAAACTAAGCATGCTTTGTAACACAAACGTTTACTGATACCATATTCAAATTCTGGTCCAGAAGCATTTGGGGCATCATAAAATAAATGCAAGCACATAGAGTAGTGGATAAGATTGCTTTTCACTTGAAAAGTATCCACCAAAATAGCAGCTTAATAAGTGTTCTAGAGTGAATGAGAAATGCCTATAATATTATTATATTATACACATACTAAATGAATAACAAATTATGTATCCACGTAAATGTTGTGGTTATGGAAATTGGGTTATATTATGGATATGATGAGAAGGCATAAAGATACCCCACCTTAATAAGAATGTAGCAGCAGAAGCGTGGACCGGGCCGAGTATCCAGCATTAGCGTGCGCGTTTGAGATGATGTCGCGTTCTTTCCGCTCTATCCGCGACGCGTTGGGCTCAAATGCGTCTCTCCACAATGAGCGATGAAGCTTTAAACCAGAGAGAGAGAGAGAGATGGAGACTGGGAGTTGTTTAGGGGGTCAAAACACAACGGGGTCTCTCACCCCCACCTCCTTATCACACACACTCGCGCATTACAAACACACACACACTTGCGCATTACAAACGCATAGGCCTTCGTTTTATTTGAAGGACGCTCTCCTCCTCTCTCTCTCTCTCTCTTACACACAAACCGTGCTTACATTACGTGTTTCACTATCGCTATTCCGGTGAAAAACCATCTTGTCTGATTATAGGTTGGCTATCATGTGCAGCAGATCTGTTTTGAAGCATGCACTGGTAAATTTACACACACGTGCTTTATTTACGGTGGCCGAGAAGTGCAAAACAAATCACAATTCTGAAAACAAAATAACAAATTACAAACGCAAATGCAAGTCTAAAAAACAAAAATGTATTGTATGAATTGCCTTTACTATGGAATAAAAAATACGGGCTGTCTATTTATATTTAGTTAAAAGTGGCTGTAAATCATCAGCTCCATTGGTGCAGGTGGATAAGTGCTTGTCGTTGGCTTTTTGACGCGATCGACCCGGGTTCGATCCCGCCTTTTGCCGAACTTTTTTCAGAAAAAAAAAGTTTGGCAAAAGGCGGGATCGAACCCTGGTCGATGTGTTTTCTGACTTGTTAATTTGTTTTCGGATTTGTCGTTGTGTTTTCTGACTTATTTTGTTTTCGAATTTGTCATTGTGTTTTCTGACTTGTTATAATGTTTTCTGAATTGTTGTTGTGCTTTCTGAATTGTTATTTTGTTTTTTAGACTTGCATTTGCATTTGTAATTTGTTATTTTGTTTTCAGAATTGTGATTTGCTTTTCACTTCTCGGTCACCGTAGTAATTCTCCACAGCATACGCGTCATATCATATTCTACACAATACCACCAAAAAGTATTTGTAGACTTATACCGCATTTTAAAACGCATTATATCAAAAATATACCAAAACAAGTGGCATCTGCAAACACGCGATAGACCTTTTCTCAGAGCTAACTTGACTTCTCAGCCATCTTTGCATATTAAACAACTGGTGTCAAGGTGATTTTAGAGTGGATGAAGACAGTTACCATTAAGTCTTCCAGGTTAACATAACATTTAATAACCAGAATGAGTCAAAATCCTAAATTTAAAATAGTGTGTGAAATTAGTATCATGATCACCACCCTCCTGAGGGGACAGTAAAAGTTGTAAGTGTCTGTGTAAGAATATAAAAGATTTACATGAATGAATGAAGGATCACATAGGCCTAAATAAATAGGTTGAAAAACGTCTGAGCTGTAATTTCATTTGCATTTAGCCCTAACTTGCAACAAGAAGTTACAAGCACCAGAATCAGCAGATTTTCTTGTTTAAATTGATAAAATTGTTCAATTTGTTTGCTGTTTTAAAATATATTTCACTCACAAAATATAACTCACTTTTTTGTAATAAAACACTTAAAATTAAACAAGGTGAATTGGGGGAAGGGATTACGAAAAAATCATTAAACAAAATAAATGTGTTACCTGATGTCCATGTTTTCTATTAGTGTTACAACCAATCCCACCCAACTGTTACAACTCACCCGGCTGTGATAGGATGTAACAACTGCACTCTTTGCTCTTAAGAGTAATGAAAAAGTGTAAGAATAATTGAAGATAACTTCACCTTAAATGTGAGAAAATATTAAAAGGTTAGAGATATACTGTACACGGTGTAAAAAAACAATAAATAAATAATACAAAGTTACATTTACAGACTACAGCAAAAAGTGTTACATTTCCAGGTATCCTCAATATAACTGTAAAATTTAACACCTACTAAATTTCTTATAATTAAATATTTGCTTGAAAGGTAAACTTGTGCTTTCTTCCTTTGAAATAAATGCAACTAGCGTGACAACTAAAGCATTGACATTCATTTGTGTGTCTTAAGTGTCAAAATAATTCCGGGGGACCACTTTATGGAGCAGAAAGTGCAGAAAAATGCAATGAAGTTGCAATCAGCTGATAATGCTAACTGCCAATTAAACTTACCATAATAAATAACAACCATTACCATGTAATTGTTTTAATTGCAGGGCAAATTACAGCAATATGTTTCTGTTATTTATGACTCTTATCTTTGAACCAGTAATAGGGTCTGTTGTATGCAGAAAATTAACTACCTTTCAGTTTCCACACTTAATAAATCCATAATAAGACCAATGGTAAATTACATAATGATGGTAGGTTGTAACTGAAAGGTTGTTTTTCAAGACAGGGTATTTTTTTAGATTGGACTGGGGCAAGTTGTCACACGTGTTCTATATATTTGTATACAACTTTATACAATGCATTCATTACAATATGCCAAAAGCACTTATTTTTGTTTCATAATTGTTTTGCTGCTTAAAGTTGAAAAGCCATTAAATAGCCTATAAAACATTTTAAATATAGGGTGTGTGTGTCACGTGAATGAAAACAATGGCCTTTAAATAAGTGGCATAACAATCAGTTAGAGCAACCTGTAACAGGCAAACAGTTCCACGGCGGACCAAACGTGGTCTTGTGTTGTAAATCACCCTTAAATAACATAATAATTATTCCACACGTCCCCTGAACTCTTCTCCCGCAGAGCGAGCCCTCAACAGGCGGTCAGGACTTCAATCACCGCGGCCCTCTCCAGCGCGCTGCGGCCGGACCGACGCGCTCGGTGGGCGGTGGGCGGCGTGACATAAGCGAGGCAGAGGATCAGGCGATCTTCGGCCTTTCAACACCATGGGAGGGCACTGGCCAACAGAGATGATCATAGCTAAATAAAGGCATTAACAGCGCAACAACAGCGATTGTAAAGACGCTCAATGGAGCAACGCCCTTTGAATGCGGCCTTTAATCGGGTATTTCCACTTGTAATACGTTGCCATTTCATACGCAGACAAAATGCCTTATAACTAATGCAACGCCTGCTATACGATGCCTTTTTAAATAATTCAGATAAATAATAATAAATATTTTGTCAGGGATACTCTCAAATGTTGTGTGAAATCATTTGTTATAACATTCTAGGGCAAGATGCAAACATTTTATAAATACAGTAGGTATGTAATATAGTCAGTTGACTGTTGCCATGCTGTGTTTCACATTAATTGTGTGTTTTTGTGGGAGTGAAATTGAGGGCAGGTTGTTTTTAGAGAATAAGCTCATTAGTATTGTGGTGCGAGGCAGGTTAGTGTGATTTTTTGTTTAATGTGGCTGTTTGTCACTTCCTCTCAAATTGTGAATGTTTGTTTAGGGACATTTGTCACAGTGTGTCTGTGAGTGTGCATGCCATGTGAGAGACATTCGGTCATTAGTGAAGGCATCAGGAGCCGAAAAAGAAGGCATAGAGAAGTGACAGTACTATTTTAGATGCAACAAAACTCTCTCTCTCACTCACTCATTTATGCACTGTGTAGGCTAATGATGTTTAATATTAATCCAGAGCTTATTGATCTTATGGTCCTACATTTAAAGTTTATGATGCTAACGAACTGACCTCACAAATTAACATCCCAGCAACCTCACACAGTCTCTTAGGCCTGACCTTTGACATCTGGATCTATATCTGCTGCTGTGAGCGTTGTGTATCCCTGAGGGAGTCGTTCTCTGGTGTCCGTTCACCCCAAATCCTCAGGTCAGGATCTCTCTGTCAACATTTTGGTGCCTTTTTATGCTTTTTGTTACTTCTTTATATCACTGCTCATGTTACATGCACTTTGAAAGTTTGATTTCAGTAATAGTTTGTCTTTTAAAATGTCCTGTAAACAATTTGCGAAGTCAGACTAGACGAGCTAGATGATGAGATTGTAGCATGTGTACATATTAATCAATTTACACTTGGCTTTGGCATTGTGCGCATCCTCCGAAATACAGAGGTGATGTGCGACATGTATTTAATCCTTCAAATATTCAATTATGCATTGTGTCATGTACACAGCTAAAGATTGTAGCCCTCCTAAAAAAAGCTTGATGTTAAATGGAAACATACTGACTGCATGCCTATATGAATCGCTTATGGTGTAGCCTTCTCTTTTTGGAACTGGCTGATACAGAACAAGATATTTAAATAATTTACATTTAATAATGTTTGTATTACCCAATGACAAAGCTTTTGGTATATATTGTAACTGGCAAATACTACAAAAGCCTGTAAACATAATGTTTGAACATCGAAATGTTGTTTGGTTGTGTACATCTGCAGAAACTTTTGCTTGTGTTGGCAGCTCAGGGATGACACAGTTGACATGACTGTTAACTCTAATGGCCAGTGTAACCCTGATATGCAGCAGGTAAGTGCAGTGCAGCATGGAACATCAAAGACATATAATCAAAGCCTATAGCAGTGAGGCAACAACCAAAGAGGGAGGTAAAAAGAGAGAGGGAGAGAGTGCTTTTTTATGAGCATGCTCCTCTCCAGTTACTTTGTCGTCTGGCCCAGCACCCATAAATATTCTTTCACTTTTTCGATTTTTCACATCAGGCCTCTCATGCGTGCCATATATGAGTTCACCCCTGCCTGAACTTTGTCTGAAATGTTTACCTCCTATGTTTCTTGAGTACAATAAAGCTGACCTTCAACAAAATGAATCACTATAAATGATTATTATTATTTATTGGTGTTTGGTAAGGCAAGCATCACTGTTGCTCATTCTGAAGATTTAGGCGTGCTGGCAAAAAAAAAAAAAAATCACAAATATTTAAGGAGAAATCAGAATGTCACATACTGATAAAGAACCCAAAGACACTGAAGGGACCATAAAAACCCAAGGATGGTTTCTTTTGACTTGGGCCATTATACAAAAAAAAGTTCACCTAAAAGTGCTAACAACTAAAATCTCTCAAAAAACATTATTTAACATCACAGAACCAACCAACAAACCCATTTTAAATCAGGTATTTAAGGTATTTACACTACGTTTAAGGTATTTACACTAATACTAGGTAATACACTCTTAAAAATAAAGGTTCCAGGTTTCACAGCGATGCCATAGAAGAACCAGTTTTGGTTCCCCAAAGAACCTTTCAGTGAACAGTTCTTAAAATAATATTTTTTTTTCTTAGTGTGAAGAACATTTTAATAATTTAAAGAACCTTTTACCACT